TACAGTGTACAAAACAAGCCTGTGTTCTTCAAAAAATTTCAATCATGAAAAACAATAAAGGGCTGAAGCACTGCTCCAGGTTAAAAGAGACCATTGTGCCTGGCTGGTGTGGCTCAGTGGTTGAGTGTGGGCCCATGCACTAAGAGGTCACTGGTCGAATCCCAGGTTGGGTCACATGCTGGGGTTGTGGGTGTGCAGGAGGCACCAACTGATGTCTCTCATCAATGTTTCTCTCCCTCTCCCTTTCCTTTCTCTCTAAAACAGTGGTTCTCAACCTTCCTAATGCCGCGACCCTTTAATACAGTTCCTCATGTTGTGGTGACCCCCAATTTCATTGTTACAAATTGAACATAATTAAAGCATAGTGATTAATCACAAAAACAATATGTAATTGTATGTGTGTTTTCTGATGGTCTTAGGCGACCCCTGTGAAAGAGGCCGTTCGACCCCCAAAGGGGTCGCGACCCACAGGTTGAGAACCGCTGCTCTAAAATAAATGAAGACATATTTTAAAAATACTTATTGCTTTAAAATGCTAATGATCATCTGAGCTTCAGAGCGCCACAGTTTTTTGCTGCTGGAGGGTCTGGGTCAATGTTGGTGAAAAGTCAGTATCTGCAAAGTGCAGTGAAGCCAAGTGTGGGGTGGAGCTAACGCTTATGGCGGCCGGGCGCCACACTGCACATTCGTTCAGCCACCTAGCACGGGGGCCACTGTTCCACATGAGAAGTCAGCCCTCATGGAGTTTACATCCATCACCTCATCCAATCCTCCAAACCCCGGCTGGTACCATTAGGATCTCCATTCCCCAGGCGTGAGATTGCAGGCTCAAGTAGGTGTTGCGAAGACAGAGCTAGAGGAGGTCCTTTGATTCCAGCCTCCACTCCTCCCCAGCACGTGCCCAGGAACTGGGCCTACTGCAGTCAATGCAGGGATTTCATTCTGGACTGCGGCAAAGGCAGAGGGTGTGGGCTCCCACCTCCAGCGCAGCAGCAGCAGCCACGGGCCCTCTCAGTAAGGTGCGCAGGCATGTGGCATGGGTTCTAGGTCAGAACCCTCAGAGCTCTTCTTTATCGCCTGATGCTCAAAGTAGTAACAGATTTCCACTTGCAGCCATAGCTGCTCAGGATGGCAAGTCAGCTGCTGAGTGACAGAGGGATGTTGAATGAATGTCTAGGCTCCTGCAAGGGGACCCATGTTCCAGAGGTGTGTCCTGACTCAACAACTCATGGTGGTGTTGGCTCTGAGGTTTCTAGGTGACTCCTGTGCCCAGAAATGCCCCATTGCCTTAAAAGCAAAAAAAAAAAAAAAAAAGGCAAGCCACCAGCCAGTACCCTGTTCCAAGGCAGGACTGCCCTCCTCTGGTCCTTTTTCTGCCCAGTCCTGAGCCAGAGACTGTTCTCAGGAGGAGAGGGGAGCAGGAAGCCCTGTGGAGCCCTGGACCGCTAAGCCGGAGGCCATGCTGAGGTCCCAGTCTAAACCGGTTGTGCCACAGGCACATTTGGAGTCCCCAAGGTTTCATTTCCTTCACTCTAAAGCGAAGGAGATGGTGAGGGGCTCAGTAAAGAGTGAGCAAACCGTGTATACAACCCTGACATCTGTTAGACTCATAGCATCTCCACGACAGCTGACCAGCACATTGCATCTCCTGAGGAGTGCCTGGCCAGGGTCTAGCAGTCAGGGGTGCAGAGCTGGAACTCAGCGCCTTGGTCTCCCCCCGTGCCACAATGGGAGACATATGACGACGGGGTGATGGGCGCATCCTCAGCAGCCTCCAGTGGGACAGGGAGTGCCTCCTCAGCCCACTCCCCAAAACAAGGGCCTGCACGTGTGTGTGTCTTTCCTTTGTTTACTCTGGCCCTGCCAACACCTTGATCTGGGACTTCCAGCCTCCAGAGCTGTGAGACAGTCATCTTCTTGTTTCAGTCACTCAGCCCGTGGTGTTCTGTCACAGAAGCCTGAGGGGATTAACACAGACCCCGGGACGGAGGGGCTGCTCCCTTCTCATCAGGCCTCTGAGCAGATGGTCCCCACTCCATCAAGGGAGCGGCCACGCCCGGAGGCTGGGCTGTGGTGTGTTAGG